AAAAAAAAAAAGACGTTTTTAAGAAATTATTTGAATACTGCTTTCAATAGAATTTAATTTTTGTCCAGTTTATACTTTGACATTTTTCACCTTGACATTTTTCGAGCTATCACATAACTGTTGTAAAAACAGATTTTTTTCTTCAGGAAGCCACTGATTATTATCATGCCACATGCTGCTGGAAGTTTATCAAGAGCTGAACAATTCTTTTATCTTGTTATACAAAGCAGTCTTGGAATTTTTCTTCTTCTTACCTGCTGTCCTATATTTATTGTTATTGCAAGCAAAAAGTCACTTCATCGACAGTATCTTCTGATGGCAGTACTTTTTTTTCATTGTATATGTATAGGTGAGATAACTAGTAATTTGTTGTCAAATTTAAAACATGCTTTTAAAATTTTTAATTAAACAGTAAAGCTTTTTCAACAGCAAGTCTAGGTCTAAACTGTTGAATGTGTTAGGTTTTTATATGCCATTAAAAGTAAGTGGAAAAATTTGTTAGATTAGATTCATTTTTTGAAAAGTTAGTGAGTGATATTTTACTGGAAACAAAGAATCCTGGTATTTAGAAAAAGTAAATTCAGTTGTATTCAGTTACATTCAAAAAATTATAATTAAAAAAAGCAGCAATAAAAAACGTTTATGACAGAGTAGAGATTACAATGTTTGAGTTTTTTCAAAAGGCAAATCAGAATGTGGAAGTTAGAAATTTGAGTTGGCATTTTCAAGTGCGTACCAAATGTTTTTTCATTATTTCGCAAATAAATTCTGTATAAAAATAGCTACTAAATCTTTTTCATACTGGTGGCCCATCACACTGATCGAGTAGACAAATTTTTCATATTGCTCATAGCATGGCCGATTCGTTGTCAAGAATGAGTAGGGTCTTCTCAGTTATCCGATTTAGGTCCCCCTCAATCTGTCAAAAGTTCATCAAACAAAGAGCAGTTGCGTACAAGATATTTTTCCAACATGTTGTTTTTGGTTCACTCATCAACTGCGGTTTGGGTGATTCTTTTCTGCTACATACTCATGTCTACAGTTTTAGTCATCGGCTTCCTGCTTTATCAGCTTAATCTTAATCTTAATCCGTATTCTGTCCGAGTTTGAATTAATCAAAGAAAACTTTTAATTTCTTTTTTTCTGCACTTCTTCAAGCATCACAGCTGCTAAAAAGTCTCTCGTTTGACGGTCGTCACTGCAACTTTTCTGCTACTTTAGCGTTTTTCTTATTCTTTAAAAACACAAATCTGCACAATTTTGGCTTAAAGTAGTGTTGATATGTGAACCCATCTGGTTCATTATTAAATTACGCCTTCTTTCCTCGCAAGCATATTAAAGTACCACACAGTGTGTACCAATAAATTTATGTAACGTAATACTCATGAGCTTGACAGTAACGCATATGGATTCACCGCATTCTTGTCATCATCTTCATAATCAAACGCTGAAGTTTAGTTTTTATTCTCTACGCTCGTTTTCTTTACCTCTTAAAATAGCCAACTGTTTGAGCGGCCACCTGTATGAAAAGATTTATTTGCGGCGAACAAGATTCTTCATGAGTTGTGGTTCCATCTCCGTTTCAATGGACGGAACTTTTATGGAAACACCGTTCACTGGAGCAGAGAAAGAGAGAAGACCATCAACCTAAAACTGCTTCAAACTATTTGAGTGTGTTTTTTCAGGTATAAATTGTTTCTTCAACATATATCACATGATCAAATGTATTTGTGATGGCGAGGAAGTCGGATTAAGTAGCATTAGGTGCATAAAACGAGTAAGTATATACAGTTAAATTATTACCAAAAAATCCCAAATTTTCACCATTTTGTTGACACGTTGTTTGAACTGTAAAGTTATCCTGCTGCTAAGTCCACAAAAAACTTTGCTAATTTTTAAATTTATTTAAAAAATTAATTGTAATTACGTATTATCACAAATACTGCGGACTACGATTACGTTGCCCTGTAGCAGCTGCTTATGGTTTTTGGAATTTTGAATGTGGTTAAAACAGTGTCTTGATATTCAAAAAACCTTCTTCTTCAGTGACAAATGCTACATCATGCATTTTTTGAGGAGAAAAGGCAAATGCAGGTTTATTAACGGAATGATAAATTAGAGATACATAAATAAGCATTTTTGTTGAAAATGAATAGCGTAAAATAAATTTTTGACGAGTCAGCGCTTTTTGCTTTTCAGATATTTGGTTTCTCAATTTCTTTACAGTTTCACTTCTTTCCTATGCTTTGTAAAAATAGAAAAACATTCAGAGGTTCTACTTTTCAAATTTCCACCTTTCGTTCACTTCGACGCTCCTTGCTCTTGCCTCACAAGGAACGGAAAGGAATGTAATTCTTTGCCTCTTGCTTTTTTAGCTGAAATCTTAGCAGGCAGCAACCAAGTCAAAACTGATCCCACTTCTCGTCACCTAATTTCTTTATGAGGCTTATATAAAATTCTGCATTTAAAATTATGCAACATTTTCCACTTTAAATTGTGCGCAAAAAATTTCAGCTTTCTTTTATATTTTTAAAATGCTCTGCAATTTAGTACTTCTTCAAAACGCTCAATAGCAGGCTACCATAATTTGATTTCAACATCGATATTAGCTTTTTATGCGAATCAGGAAAACCAATTTGTTGAAACGTAATTTATAAAAGTTGCGTAGTCTAGTAAAAACTTTTTAGTAGTACCTAAATCTTAACCTACAGGTTACAGTCAAAAGAATTGTTTTTAGAGATACTCCTCAAAACCAAACGCTGAACACAAAGCATTTTAGCTCCTTATCCAACTAAGAATTTTCGTAGGGCTTTAAGTATGGCAAAAGTGGTGACATATTCCGTAGTTAGGCAGATTGCAAGATTTGGTGCCGCAATTTAGCGACAAATAACGAATACTTTATAAGATAAAAAAAGAAACAATAAAATTATAGATAAATTAACAATCGTAAAAAGATCAGGTGCAATTACTAATACACTAAAAAGAAGTAACTAGATTTTTGAAGTTTTATTATTGTCTCTCAATCTTAAAAAAAAATTTCTAGCAAAAATATAAAATTTTTCAAAAAATTTTGTAGTTTACTAATAATTCAAAAAGGATTATTACTTGTAATTCTTCTAAAACAACATGAAGATTACCAGTCACAGCTGAAGTTAGGCAAAATAGAATAGTCTTGAAATGCGCTATTCTAGAATAATGTCAAAAAAAAAGAAAACTTCTTTATTTTGTTGTCAATCTAGAAGCTTCATGCAGCTAATTACTGTTAACAGTGACAGATATATGTTACCTAATGTAAATTTTACGCTTCAAGCAGTGTATACTGATAAAAATACTTGACGTGATAACGAAAGCATACTGTCGTATAACTTTTGTTCAGTAGCGTCAAACTCAGAAATTCGTCTAAGCAAATTTGGAAAAGCCAATTAGAAGAACCAATAGAATAACCGTTCAAAGAAATCAAGTATAATTAGAAAAATACGACAACTGTTTTTTTTTTTTTGAAATATCATAGTAATCCACAGCAGGTTTTTTGACACATTTGATTTGTGATCGCTTTTTTTGTCATCTTTTTGTTTGCTGTAATTACTTCTAAATTAACTTTATCATCACAGTGTCATTTAAGCAGTAGTCAATAAAATTCTGTTAAACTAGCACTCATCATTAGCAGAACGATTCATTTGTTTCATTAGGAGATATTCTTGACCAGTAATCATTTGGACACAATGATAAGCCTGCGATATCATGCTAAACAACACTGAAAGCAGTTAAAAACTGCTAATATGTTTTTAAAATTAGCTTACACAGTTTTGTTTTTGTACTGTTTGAAAAAAATTTTGTTTTATAAAAACTTCAATGTTTTCATTAATTTTTTTAGCTTGATGTTTGGATAGATTTATTCTGCGTTCCATCGATTGCCATTTGTTGGATGACTTTAGGTATTGACCGATTAACTGTAATTTATTATCCGATTAAGTATTTTCGTTATCAAAAGTTGGGCATAAGACTGCAACTTGCTTTCATTCATATCGTAATATTCCTGTATTTGGGTACAGCATTATTTTCAGCAATAAAGTATGATGAACATAAAGCTACAACGCACTGCAGGTACGAATATGCAAAGTGGTTTTTTTTTTTAATTATTTCTCGATTTGTAATTAATAATAATAAAAATGTTTCAAATCAAAAACTTGATTATGTAGTTAACAACTTCAAAAATTGATTTTTCTTGTTTCCATTATACTAATGAAAAACAATTCCCTTGCTAAATTTTCAAAAAAAAAAAATTATTTTTAAATCTTTGATTAACTTTCATTTTATTAGATATACAATTTTTAACTTCTGACAGGCAAAAGAAAATTAGTAAATGCTATTTTAACGATTCCTACATCTTTATCAAAAAAAAAGAAGCCAATAATGATATGACAAATTTTAGGGAATTTGAATATTTCCCATATGGTATGTATGTGTTTGCACTTGGTTTTCGGCTTTTTGCTGCTTTAATATTTGTCACTGTTATACCGATAATAGTGAAGCGTCTAAAACAGCATACCGCTGCTAAGGTTGCAAGTTTTGGAAACAATCCTAAGCTGACCGTCTTTTTGAAGCGGCAAAATATTTTTACTAATGGACTGTTGTTTTGTTGTGCCTATACTTCCGGTGAGAACCACAACCTATACTAAACCGTTTTTTAGACAGGCTAACAAGTTTTTGTTGCTCATTTGAAATACTTTTAATTTTCAGTTAAAGAAAACAAAACTATAATCGCGCAAATTATATAGGTTCGTAGAATTTATTTTTAGTATTGTACGTTGTACCGAACCTGTTGGCTATACTGTTAAGCGCGATGTGGTACAGTTCAATTGAACGAGTGAGCACTTATACAACGTTCTTGAATTATCTTAATGCATTACCAGTTGCATATGTTGCATTTTCTACTCAACCAGAAATATGTAGAGAATGCTTCAAAATGATGCCATTCCTGGCAAAAATTCCAGTTCTGAAGAACGTTCATCACGAAGATCGTACCTGTGCAGTGAGCGCCAGGAGCTAAAATTTGTTATTTATCTTTACTGGCCATTAATTCTGTAACCTGTATTAAAAAACTGTTGAACAGCATGCGATAATACTAATAAGTGTATATAGATTTCTTATACATAACACAACTGAAATTCACTTTGTAAATGGACTAACAGTAAAGTGACCGTTACTAAATGTTGACTCTAAAAAGATGAAAAGCATGTAGTAAAAAAGTGATAAATAAAGGAGTGAACTGATATCATTTTCACTTGTCTTTTTTTTTTTTCTCTGCCCACTTCAAGTGTCACTAATACCACCAGAAAAGGTTGATAACATTGCAAAACACTTCGGCACAATCTTTCAGAATCGTTGAAGTTTCGTCCTCATCGGGTGGGAAATAAATTTTTAACATTGGAATGCGTTCCTCTGATCTTGATCTCATCTTGCAAGAAACTACTCGTGTTACATTTGTACACTTGGCGCAAAACAAATTAGCCACCTAGTTTCTAACTAACGCCCCTGAGTGGCTAAATTTAGGTCAAATTTAAGAGAAATAAGTTAACGCCTACCAGCATCGAAACATACGAAAAAGCGACGAGTTTAGAAGTGTCAGTTCTGAAAAATCATTCCGATATACTGTTGTCTGGTTCAGTTTAAATATTTTAAGAGGCGATGTAGTGAACGAAACTTTTGGGTTTCGCAATATCTGGAATCAAAAAATCGTTTTTTCAGGAAGCCGTTTGCCAACCACTCTCTGGAAGGGTTCGGATTTGCTCTTTTTGTTGTTTTGTTTTCCCAACTTCTGAAGTTTAGGCTGCACAAAAGTACAGTGCTGCGTTTTCACTTTTTTTTTTTAATTTTATTAGCTTAATTCCACTTTAAAATCGTTAAGTCGTATATGGAAGAGCTGTTTGAGGAAAATCTCACTATCAGACGCCCAATCAAGGTTAGAAAACTTTGTTTTTTTCGACTTACTTCTGATGATTTCATTGAGAACTGTTAAAAAGTTCTCAAATCCCTTGCCTGCGCCAGAGGCGCGTTCTGAGAAAACATTGAAATTTGTAACATCTTATTCGCTACTGTCAGATCAGTGGCTACACTACACCTCCTGCTCTGCTACTAAGGGCTTTCAGAATTTAATTGTTTTCTTAACATTCTTTAAAGAAGATTTTGTGGGATTAGAAAATCTCTGAATATTTTTTACTTTAGTTTTTGAACTTGTTATTAGAAATGGGTTATCTTGTGTGTGTCTGCTCTGTACAACTGCGCAGTATGTTTTAAAGCCTTACTAAGTGCCAGCTAAACGGTATCTGGCTACAACATCTTACTGCTGGAGCTACTCAAGCTCGAACTTTTCATTTTGCTTTCGACGCGCGTTTTTAAAAAGAGTCATGGCTTTAAGGTCGAGCTTCTCATTCCCATACTTGTGATTTCTGGTCCGAATATCGTGTTGTGCATCTGTGCGCACTCAGGCATTCCACGTCTCGACAAAATTTAGCAAACTGATTTCTTTTATAAATCGCTTTGAGCTGGCGTTATTACGCGACATGAAATTGCCGAGTATTAAAATAGTCCAGATTATTTAGGTATTCGTGACTTCTTCATGCGAAAGTTGCTAACACACCTTGTTTCCTAGACCCATAGACTGAGATAAAAAACTCACGGGCTGTGAAAATGCCGGGTCTTGAGTACATTCAAAAAATTCCGTCCATCTCGACGGAACTGGATCTGCAAAACTTCAAATATTACGCTCTTAAAATTACTTCCCGAGAAGCCTTTTATTGTTGCTTAGAGTGCTGACCCTTCTCCATCACTAGTTTTTTCTAGTGTCAGAATTGCTACTTCATGACTAACCTCAGAGTTCAGCATTTAAACTATATTTAGTGGTTTGATTTGACGTCACCATTAAAAAGCACCTTTTACTGTCGTATCGTTTTTCTCTCTGACTTCTTCAATTCCTGATTCCCATTACGAACTATCTCTGATTATAATGGCTGGCAGGCATTTACAAGTCTCCAACTGTGGCAAACTGGATTTCACGACGATGTGCAGGTGGTTGCCACAGAACGACGCTGAAGTTGTCAGCCGATGCCGGCTACGACCGGTGTATTCTCCCTCGATCGCAACAGACTGTAGTGATAACGACATCGCTGTTGCCGTTGCTCTTCCGAGAGAGGAGGCATCCTAGAAATCTTTCTTATAGATAAATGTGTGAGGTTTTCACTTCATACAATCATTCTTCTGCTAGGGATACGTTGTGTGTGTAGTCGGCGATTATAAAAGTTCCACATCAAAAAGCAGCAGCATATCCTAATCGATTACTGCTTGCAGTTTGTCCAAACAATGCTTGTCTCAGTTTTTGCTACGGAAGACGCTAAACTCTTTTCAGTGTATTATAATGACGGTAGGACCTCGTATAACGAGCAGGTACGGCTTTTTGAAATCCAGGATGGACTTCAAAAACAAAAAACTTTTAGTCCGAAGATAGTCAGAAGTTTTTCTACCAACTTTTCAAACAGGAAATAAATCGTTGCATTCAAGCAATTTTTAAACAGCGTCAAAACTACACGGAATCGTTTGAAGAGGTAAAAAAATATAATAAAGCAGTCTCTGTACAGTACCGTTTGGCAAAAAAATGGGAAGGCCGGTAAAGATTGCCATTGTGTTATTATTCAGTGCCATGTTTGGGGCAGTTTTATCTTCTGCTCTGCATCCATTCTGCAAGCTCTCCCATCGTTATCTTATCTTTTATTTAATTAATTAATTAAATTGTTTACTTATTCGCTATTTGTCGTTTTAACCAACAAAGGATCTTTGTTCTATTGTATTCTTTTTTTCTAGCACAAATGATATGTTTCGTAAATCCCACGCCTTCCACAGCTGCTTTGAAGTCTTATGAACAGCTGAAAAGTACAGTTTTTTGCTTAGCGCCATCAAATATTAAAATATAAATATATATATGATATTTATAATTATACATGTGTCTAAGGATGAGCATTACTGTTTATGGACATCTAAAAAAATTTTTTCGCTGTTATTTTTTCTAGGATTTTACTGTTAATCTAGCAAAAGTTCGGAAAGCTCTATAAATTTTTGCATATCAGAGGTTTTATTTTCTTCTGTTCTTTCTTCTTTGAATTTGCCATATTGTCCTCACAGTCTGATTAGAAAATATGATTTCTTTGTTAATATTCAATGTTTCTCACCAGTTATGCTAACGAAATAACTCGTTGTCGAGTAATACTCTTAAGAATAAGCGCTTCGACGACTTATGCTGTATAGATAAACAGCACTGAGTCGAAAGGCCTTCGATACAGTCTAAATATTAATTTTAGGAATTGATACAGTGTATGATACCCGACTTTAATCGCGCCTTTTTTTGCCCATCTTTTTTGCTGCCTTTCAGATAAGATGTTCCTGACTTTTATTCATTTGACAAATATGAAAAACTTCCATGCAGTTTCTAACTCAGTGATCTGGAAAATTCAGGACTACCAAAAAAAAGAATCCAAATTGTTTCAGTGGTTGAGAGGTGACATCATCCAGTTAGTCACTAAAGTTGTAGTAACTTATCAAGGTGGTTACCTTTTTTAGATTAGATATCGATAAATTTACGCTTGCTACAAAGTATTTTGTGTTTCCGGTACGGACGAATATTTAAACTAGGGTACCTGTACTTTATCGAATTATAACATTAACGGCACGATAGAATGACGCTTGGTTAATGGGACGTTCGAAATCAAAAGTTTAACATTCATGCTCCGTGACTTTAGTCGTGTATGCATATTTTTTTATACGGATCTTCTAGTTTTACTGGCTGGTTGATCTGTCGGAAGTTAAAACGAAAATAATAGTGAATGTGGTGCCTGTGCGGAGGAACTAAAGTGGCTTTCGATTTTCATTGACAACCTTGAACGTGGATGCAGAGTGCGAGTTACCAAAGCTCTGTTTGGAACAACTTTTTTGGTTTTCTTTCTAGTAACTCATCAGCCTCAGACAATGGTAATAAAACATTTTTTGTTGGGTTTTCTTATTTTTTGATTTGCTTTGCTCAATGCTTAGTTTTGCGATGGTGTTGAAGTCGTAAAAGTTGCTTTTGGAAAATGTTCAATGGTAACGCTTATTTTTATTGTTGGTGCTCATTTTACTTTAGTTTACTGCTAACCTGATTTAGTTAGCGAATTATATGCACTGAACACTGTTTACGTTCAGTCCTCTGTTTCCTTACTGCTGTCACCATTTTGTCATTGAAAGCTCTGTTATCAAGTTTTACTCTGGACCTCATTTCTTTAAGGAGCGTCCTCATTCACATTTCTTTCATATTTTTCTGTATAGAAATTTGTCTGCATAGCAACCATGAAATTCGCCTACTGAGTTGATTAAGTTCTATCTTTTTAAGGTTT